CTCTTTAATAACTTGCCTGCCTCAGTCTCAGCGAGTCATAAATGATGCTGAAAATACCGTTCAACAGCTGAATAAAGAAACAGTCTCTGGTGGAGATAGAATCCTAGCTGACATTCTGAAACAAACTGGAGGTACATCCCTGGCATGGCAGCAATAGCACATATCTCTATTAAGGTGCAGGAAATAGGGAATTTCAGGGATGTTGTGATCATGATGATATTTTGAGACAAGTTTGATTGCAGTAACACTGCTGTCTGCTACAGAGAAAAACATTGCCAGGACCTTCCTGAACCACTGCCACCCAGCGACTAAGGAGCACCTTCCAGAGTTGCCATGTGGTTCTCACCCAGCGAGAGACACCACAGGCACCATTTTAACAATGCATCAAGTTCAAGAAAAGTACAAGCAACAAGACCATTAATTCTATCTGGCCTTTGCCAACGTTATGAAAAACAACAACTCTGTGAACTATGAAGACTTAAGGAGTAGCCTTCTCAAATTTGGCCACTCTTAGAAATTTGTCATCATCCTCCATCTATTCATGATGATGTGTAAGGCATGATTTTCACCAACAGAACCACCACAGATTCTGTGAAATCTGTGGTCAAACAAAGTGGTGTCACTGCACCATGATTCCAGGAAACTACTTACAGGCATGGTAATGAAGCTAAAAATCTGATAGGAAACTGTTCAGTCTATAACATCTTCAACCCAAAACCAAGATCATTCGAACCTCATTCATCGAACTTCATTATGTGAGTTATACTTGTGGCTATTCTCTCACTTGGCAACTGAGTCATTGTCGACTCCTCCAAAGCTGATGAGAAATGGATATTACACTAAAAACACAGCTATATAAGGTCTTCTTCCATATATCACATCCTCACCCTGAATCAAAGAATAGTTACAATACTGAAGGAGGTCACTCAGCCCATTTGCACAAACACTGGTTTATTTCCTAGAGCCAATCTCCTGCTTTTTCTCCATATTCCTGCACACGATTTCAAATAATCTAAATAATCACCAATTCCCTTTTGAATACCTCAACTGAACCTTCCTCCACCACGTTTCCAGGCAGTGCATTTCATACCTTAATTATGTACTGTGAGAAAAAGCTTTCTTTTATATCACTCTTTTTTGATTACACATCACTTTAAATCAATGCCCTTTCGTTTTTCTCCATTGATTAAAATCAATGGTGAGTTCCTTGAAATAATGGACTGTTATCATATCTTCATAGAATCATAGTAAGTAGATAGTGTAGAAGCAGGCCATTTGGCCCATCAAGTCCACACCAACCCTCCAAAGAGTCCCACCCAGACCCAGCTCTCTAACCTGTCCCTGCATTTACCATGGCTAATCCACCTAGCCTGCACATCTCTGGACACTGTGGGCAATTTAGCATACCCAATCCACCTAACCTGCGGATCTTTAGATTGTGGGAGGAAGTATATGAGGACCAGAATCTCAAACCAAGACTAAGATTATGGATTTCCAAGGCAACTGTAATTCCTACACTCCTATATGCTTCGGGTACTAGTGTAATCTACAGAAAGCAATTTAAAGCACGTACATTGTAACACTCTCAGATCTTTGAAACATCCTCCAAACTCAGAATCTTGCTAAGCACTGATGCACTAATTACTTAAATCCAGCTCCCCTGGATGGGACCTGCCATTCACATGTCCAGAAATAATTACAATATAAGAGCAGAAGTAAAACATTCAGCTCCTGGAATATGCTCCACCATTGAACAAGTCGTGGCCAATCTGTCTGTGTTTTGAATTCCACATTCCCATCTATGACTTTCGACTCCCCTGCATCACAAGAATATATCCAACTCTTCCTTAAAAATATGATCCTGCCTTCATTGCCTTCTCAGACAGGGAATTCTAATGTTATACAACCCTCAGAGAATAAAATTCTCCTGATCATTCCTGAAAAGGCAATGCCTAATTTTAAAATGGCACCCTTGGAGTCACCCACATAAGAAAATATCCTGGCCACATCCGTATTGTCAAGACCTTTCAGACTTTTATATACTTTTCTTAACTTTTAAAATTTCTTACTTCATAGATTTCTTTCTTCATTCTCTCTCCAGTGCCTCTATTATTCTTTTAGAGTCAGAGTTATACAGCACAGAAACAGACCCTTTGACCCAACCCATCCATGACAAACAGGTTACCTGTACTGAACTAGTTCCATTTACCTGCATTTAACCTATATTCCTCTAAACCTTTCCTATTCATGCATCTGTCCAAATCTCTTTTAAAACTTCTATCTGTACTTGCCTCCACCACTTTCTCTGGCAGTTTGTTCCATATACGCACCACCCTCTGTGTGAAAAAGTTGGCCCTCAGCTCCTTTTAAATCTTGCCCCTCTTACGTTAAACCTATGCTCTCTAATTTTGGACTCTCCCACCCCAGAGACTCTGGCTATTCACATTATCTGTGCTTCTCATGATTTAATAAACCTCTATAAATTCACCCTCAGCCTCCGATGCTCCTGGGAGAAAAGTCCCAGCCCATCCAGCCTCTTCTTATAATTCAAACTCGGTAACATTCTTGTAAATCTTTTTTGCGCCCTTTCCAGTTTAATGACATTCTTCCTACAACAGGGTGACCAGAATTATAAAGAGTACTCCAAATGTGGCCTTACCAATGTCCTGTACAACTGTGACATGATGTCCCAACTTGTGTACTCAATGCTCTGACCAACGAAGGTAAGTGTGTCAAATGCTTTCTTCACCACTCTGTGCCATGTTCAAGTAACTATGTACCTGTACCTCTAGGTCTCTTTGTTCGACAATGCTCCCCAGGGCCCTACCATTAACTGTGTAAGTCTTGCCCTAATTTGCCTCACTAAAATGCAACACCTCACACTTATCTAAATTAAGCTCCATCTGCTATTTCATTTCATAAAAGGCAACTAGAACTACATGTTCCCTGGTCTAACTGAGATTGAATGCAACCTTACCATGTTGCAAACCATATAGTCAGGCTATGATGATAATCAATCAGCATATCCTTCAGGGATCCTTCATTGTCTTGAAAAATCAGCCAGAGTTTTTATTCTAAAAAAAAATCTCTTTTTCAACTTACGCCTACAGTCTAGGTCTCAAGCTGGTAATCACTCTTTTGAATGTTATATTTACTTCCTAATTTCTATATCCTTTCAACATTTTTTGAACTTTTCGTTCTTGTTGTATCTGAGCTTGGAGAAATCTGACCACTACCTAATGAATTATTTTCTCTGGTTTCCCGTCATCCTCATAATTGATGTCTGGGTAGTGTGCATTTGGCCTTGAGTTTCTGATAAATGATTCTTATTCACTACTCAACAAAAGGTCAATAAATATCATATCAAGGAAGTTGTTAAAAATACATTATATTCCCATTATTATTTAGATTTGAAAATAAAATACCCAACCTGACCAAAACCAACAAGCTTGTTCACAAGTATTTGACATAAACTGAACTGGTTAGCATTGCAGCTAAGATAAACATTCTTGCACCTCATCACTCCTGATGCAATATAAATTTGTAACAATAATAGCATTATTACTATTCCAGCATTAATGCTATTGCACCTGAGTAATATTGAGTACACAAATATTTGATTGTGAAGTGCACATGTATTTCAATGATATCATGACTCAAGATACAATCTGCAAAAAGACACTGATGTGGCTATAGCTATCAGTACACTATTGGCTTTCTGATTGCTGATTTACCAAATTGATGCACTATCATTAAACTTTCTAAGGTTCTCAGGTCTTATGGGACATCATCCTTAGCTACTATTCATGAAGTATGTTTATTACCCATTTTGCCTCCCAATGTGAATTATTTTATACCAGCGAGAACATGTCATACAACAATCAAATAGGGTACGATTTGTGCCTGAAACCATTGACAACTTTTTACATTTCCATTTACCATTTTTTGACCTTTGTAGTGTCTCTTTTGTTTGCTGCCTCAGCCAGCCATAACATTTGAATACCTTACTGTCCTTTAATAGATCAATTAGATTTAGAAGTGAGAATTTCTGCCTGTCATCTGATATCCATCTTGAAAAATTGTATTAGACTGCTGCCAACTTTTTCTTAAAACAATTTTTTCACTCCACTAAGCTCGAGATTCAGGTCTTAGGTGGTATTACTTAATAAAACCGACACAGCAATCCATCACACCATCAACCACATGAATATTAGCAACAGGTTTGCCTTCAGATTTAATATGATTAAAGTTTAATTACTCTATTGCTGCTTAACATAACTCACTGTTTTCACTGTATTCTATAAAAAGGTAAGCTATTCAGCATTTATAAGCTGATTGTGTAAAGCTGGATACAAGAAGTGATTGCATTCAAAACAATAATTCAGCCTTGCTCCATTGCTGCTAATCATAAATCTTTGAAAGCAAACTGTCGAGAGTTTACAACATCATCAGAGGTGCTCAGTTGATTCACTGCTTGTACTAACACCACCGATCATTATCCTGTGTTTTCATCTAGAGTACCAGAGTTTTACAGCTGGACTTAAATCAGGGGCTGCTACAAAATATTGAACGATCCGTGTTTTTGAAGATTACAGCATTGAGGAAAAAAGATACTTGCGACTTAAATGCTTTTATTCAGAGGTCTGAGAGCAGCACAGTTACAAGATAACAAGATAAAACATTCCAACTCTACTCTCAATTCATGGTTCTAACCTCATCTTGCTCCAAACAATTTCCTATGCTCCGCAATAAAAAAGTGTATATAACAATTTAGTTCACTGATAAAAATAACTGCAGGACTTTTAACAAATAAAAACTACCAGGTTAGTCAAAACAGCTCCATTCACATCAGATATGAAGGTTTGCGTGAGATAAATTTACTAAAACTTTTCTTCAATGTGATTTGTACACAGTACAGCTTTAGGGTTCGTCATTTCACATTAGAGAATGAAGCCATGCTGCCAATTATTTTAAGAACATGCAGAGAAAATATAGATTACCTAAATTCACACGAAGAACCAGCTTTGCTTTTTTGATTTCAAGCGTTATATAATCTCCTTGCTGTCCTTCGCCATGGAATATAACACCTTCATTCTCAGATGTTTTAAACTTCAGTGAAATAATATCCTTTAGTGTTTTCATTTTCTTATTTCTAAACACATAGGATAATGGACTGTAGCCATCAAAATTGATAACATCTGCCCCTGCAAACAGAAAAAACAAAATATATTTAGTGGGTATAAAATAGGAAAATTATAACCAATTTGTCCTAAAATCCAAAACAGCCAACTCAATAGTCAAGTCAGTGTTAAGCATATAATGTATAGACACTTAAGACAAACCATGTCCAATTTATGGAGAGAGGGTAACACACTGGTGGTGTCACTGGATTGGTAATCCAGAAATCCAAGCTAATACGATGGGAATATGTCAACTGGTGCAGTTTAAATTCAACTGGTTCATTTAGTTTTAAGCACTAGTTTCAGTAATGATGATGATGAAACCATCATAATTTTTGTTAAAAAACCCATCAGGTTCAGCAATGTCCTTAAAGTCGCAAATTCTACTGTCCATAGTATTGTGCAAACACATGGTGCTGAAACAGTTAATGTGGAAGTTGTGTGGGACTCCACCTAATCTGATGCTGTCATGTAATCTTTGGGTGGCAATTCAGGCAGTTTTACACTGATCCTAAAGTCACCTCTGGCTTTTGATAGTCTTAAGTCATTATATTTAACATGTCAAAGTACATTGTACCAATTGCTATCATGACAATAAACTGCCATCTTGCTACGTCATATGAGTGTCTCTTCTTGACAAGGTTCATCAATGATCTATCAGCACTATATGTCAACCATCCACAGCCCAGAAAAATATTTACTCGGTCTGACCTACATGTGACTCTACACCTACAGAAATGTGGTCAATTCTTAACTGGTACTTGAAACAGTGTGGCAAGCTAATCAGGAATTTCTGATGAACAACAAATGCTGGACTTGCCAGAAATACACACATCCCATGAAAGGGCAAGGAAAAATAATGGTAATCAAAATCAATTTCAAATCTCCTGTTGTACACAATTTTAACATTCTGTATTATTAGACACAACACATCAGGTCTATGATGATACTCTGGCTTTATGCATTTTGTCTTGGCTTTTTTTTTGAAGAGATCTTTTGAGCCAGAGGAGTTGAGCTGTCTTTTCCGAGACAATAGAGTAAACAGCTTGAGAGGCCTTGGGTTTTTTTTTAAAGAAGGAACAATAGAAGCAGCATGAATGGATGGAATCAGGCTGCTACAGAACCAGGGTTTTAGTTTAGCTTTCAGTAGTTGTGAGGGTTGGTGTTGGCAGGGAACACTGTTACATCTCTCTAATATAGCTAAAAGCTGGAGTTCTCTCTGCTGCCAGAATTGCATGGGAGACAATCTATTTTACTGAATTTGCCTTTGCCAAGGGTGTGTTTATGGGATGTTACTATATTGGAACAGTTGCCATTTAGTAGTTAAATAACCTATTATTTTGTTAGGTTTTCCAATTAAGTAAAAGTTATTCCAATTCTTCTTTCCTTTGTTTGTATTTTAACTAGAGGTAAGAATAAAGTGTGTTCTACTTCAAGCTGAGTAGCATGTCCAATCGAAATACTTGTGGAACCCAGCACCTTAAACTTGCCTTTAAAATAGATAAGTGTTAGGGTCCAGGCTATCTCCTTGATACACTTGCAGGGGGTTTGGTCTGGTCCATAACAGGTCTTGTCTCAGTCAATATTTGGTAATCTGGACAATTTGATAAACAACTCGGTTTCATATCCAACAATCCATTGTGTGCTGTTGCATAGTCATTCATTTTGTTATGTATTAGCTGAGATTTAGTGGTGAGTTTTGATCACCAGCCCCAGACATTCATTACACTTAGATTTTCCCACAGGCTTTTGAAGGGGAATCTGTGATGATTGGAAATCGAAAGCAATACCATGTCCTGTGCAGAGGTTTTGGAAATGGAGCAAGCATTAGCATGTCTCTTTAACCAACCAAATGGAAGAATTCTTAATTTGGCACAGAGTCTGAACTGGGAAATGTAAATTAAGATATTTCATTCAGTGATAAATCTGTACAGAGGGCAAAATACAGAGAGAGAAAGAGGAATAGGATTAAGGAAGACGAGTTCTGTCATTGGCAATCGCTGGCTAATGAATATGATTGTCCACCTCAGAAATTCTGTGTCACTGGTCAAGAATTCTGCAGGTTCTCATGTAATTGATGAACCTGAACTAGGGCCAATCTCCAACTGCACATTTGGCAGGTGTTTCCAGGAGGAGGAAATGGTTTTTGCCTGGAGTTCATTTCTCTGGTTTGTTGTTAAAAAATGCTTTTTTAGCTTTTTCAATTCTTCAAAAATAATTAATATATCATGAAATGAGACTTGTCAATTATTTTGTTTATTCCAAAGAGGCTAGTTGGCAGTAGTTAAGATTAACTGTACCATTAAAGTTTATTTACATTGAAATGGACAACCCCAGTTGTTTTTTTAATCTGGCAGGCAGAATAGTAGGTACATATTGGCTCATATCCTTTGGTCAGCATTGATACTGAGAAGAACAACACCAACTGCAAAGATTACTGCATGTTTACTATTTTTGTGTCTTCCCAGCTAGTACTTCCTCTCCCGCCTGTTGTAGCAATGCTACCATGCAGCCATAAACAAACAGGAACGGTGAGGAGAAGCCTCACAGTAGACACACCCACTCACACTTTTAGCTACTGTATTTAGGTATGTGCTCAAAGATCTCAAATGTGTTCAGCGGATGGTTAAGTGAGTAGGTGGTAAGATGAGGGAGTGGGTGAGTGATGAGGTCACTGAATGCGTAGATGATTGAATGATGAGAAAGAAAGAGTGGGTGGTTGGAGGTGTCAATTATGGGTAGTCAAGTTGGGTTGGGTTGCAGTACTGGGCTGTCAGGTCAGGGGAATCGGGCATTCAGGTTGACTTGAGTCAGGGTTGGTTGACGTTGTCTAAGGCATGTATGGGATGCTGTGTTGATTTCCACTGTTAATTGCAGATTTACATCAAAGATCAAACAGTGCAGAAATTCGAGGGTGAGTACTCAGCTTAGTGTAACATATTTAGACCAGGTCTCTGATCCTGAGCTCAGTGTGGCAAGCATTGGTAGAGGAACCTGGACCATGCAACACAAATAATCAGAAGATTAACTTGCCAATGCAATTACAGTACACATTTAGCACTGACAATTTACTGTTATGAACACAAAAATCCATGTCAATGTTTAACCTGCCACTAGCACATGCTGGCAACTCTGAAACATCACAAATCTGCAAATATCATTCAAAAGGATTATTCATTTTAGTTTTGAAAATATAATCTACTTTATTGTTCTGATAGGTAAATACAGATCCACATTAAATAGATATCAGATCTTCCAATTTGTGTCACTGCTTTGAACGTGAATCTCTTGCATAATATTGTTTTGACAATAACCAATCTTTATGCTATTGGATTGATAGGCAGTAATATCTGGAGAATGAAGCAGATAGGAACAAAAATAGAGAGTCAGTGGGAAAAATAATATTGTAGCACAAGGGAAAGGATGCACTAGGACTCTCACATGGAGACAGGATTGGAAACGAGAAAGGTTTGGGTTTCATGAATGCTACAGTGACTTTAATTGCAAGACAATTTAAAAGATTTTTTTTCTGCAAGTTTCTGATGAAACAGTTAGTTTACTTGGCAGGATAGCTGGTTGTCAGGTACAAGGACTAGATAAGACATAGTGAGAACAAAGGAGATAGGGAACAAAGAAGAGATTGTATTCAGATGTGGGGAGAGATTGTGATGAATGTGAGGAAAATATCCTGGTTAGGGACGATGTAGAGGTGCCGGTGTTGGACTGGGGTGGACAACGTCAGAAGTCACATGACATCAGATTATAGTCCAACAGGTTTATTTGAAAACACAAGCTTTCAGAGTCTTAATCCTTCTTCAGGTGTTAAACAGAAACTGCTGGAAAATTCAGCAGGTCTGGCAGCATCTGTGGAGAGAAAGTAAACTTAATGTTTCAGTTCCAGTGACCCTTCTTCAGAACTTGGGTACAGAGGCTGACTAGAGTGTGGTCATGAGGGGAGACCATCGGGGGAGATGGTGGTTGTGAAACTGGCAACAGGGTGCCTTGTTAGGCTGAGGGGTTTTGCAGACAACACTCAGCTTCTGCCAAAATGGGTTAAAAATTTTAAAACCTTATAAAACAAGAAGCACAACTTCCTTAAAACTTAAATAAAAGAAAAAAACTGCAAACGCAGAAAATCTGAGATAAAAGCCAAAAGTGTTGGAGAACGTCAGCAGGTCTGGCAGCATCAGTGGAAGGAGAAAGAGAGTTAATGTTTCAAATCTCATTTGACTTCTTCAGAAGATGAGCCACATTTGCCTCAAGATGTTAATCCTGTCATCTCTCCATAGATGCTGCTAGATCTGCTGAGTTTCTCCAGCACTTTTTGTTTTTATTCCTTAAAACTATGATCTACTAAACTACTTTCTCAGAATGGATGAGTTATCTACCATCTTTCCCACTTATTTTAAAATGAAAGTCAGCATGTTCAAGAAAGGTTCAGCAGGTGGTCAAATTTTACCTTCTCATTCAATCCAAAAGCATCTGTTTCGGGGTGTAAAATTACTTACAAAAACTTCAAAAAAGTAGATGAATATGGATTGGCTGCTTCAAAGGGAGGAGGATTCAGCACAGTTCTATTGTTGTTATCTCTATCTTCAAACCACAACTTTCTGATTTTTTAGTTAAATCAATGTCAATAATTACCAGAATTGACCAACTTTTACATGCATTATAATCACTGGGAACTTTTGGAGGCAAAAATATCAATGCATTTTTGCAAATAATTTTAAAATTTTGTGAAGAGGCAAGAAATTGAGCTGGTGTTAGTCACTAACAGTCCCCATTAACAACTATTCACCCTCCCAGTCTGATCGTTAGCAACTCCTTTGTCTGTCCAACAGTCTTTCTTTCTTTTTAGGCTCTATCCTATCGTTTACTCTCTACCCCACACACCTCCCTATTTTCTGCATATAAGCTGATGTTTTCCCAGCCACCATCAGTTCTGAGGAAGGGTCACCGGACCTGAAACGTTAACTCTGTTTTCTCCTTCACAGATGCTGCCAGACCTGCTGAGCTTTTCCAGC